GATTTTTTATAGCTTTGTTCCATTTAAGATGTAATTTCATTACATTCCAAGCAGTAGTATCTCTTAGAGCAAAAATCTGGGGGGGGAATAGTATTATAAAACAACAGAATGTGTGCACTGGAATATGTGCACATGAAATAATGACACTTGAGTTTGCTTCAAAAGAAGCCAAGGAAGGTGGGGGGCGGGGGGAAGAGCCTGGGGACACAGAAGAAATAAGATCAATGATGTAATTACTGAAGCTGAGTGATACCTTGAGTTTTATTACACTATTCTTTCTATGTTTGTATATATTTGAAATTTTTCATTAGAAAACACTTTAAGAGGGGGCACCTGGGTGGCACAGTTGGTTAAGCATCTGACTCCTGATTTCATCTCAGGTCAAAATCTCACAGTCATGAGATCAAGCCCCACATCAGGCTCTGAACTGAGTGTGGAGCCTGCTTACAATTCTCTCTCTCCCTCTGCTCCACCCCACCTCCCCCCAAAAATAAAAATTAAAAATTAAAATAACTAAAAAAAAAATTTTAAGAAAAAAATATCCTAAGAAAAGTAGAAAGTCAAGCTACAAATAGAAGATATGTGCAACACAGATAAGCAAGAAAGGACTGCCACCTGGAGTCTCTGAAGAGCCCCTATAATAAGCACAAAAAGAAGAAACAACACACTAGAGTGGGCAAAAGACATGAACAGGCACTTCACAGAAGTAATATATTTGGCCAAAAAACACAAAGACATGCTTGAGAATCAAGAAAATGCAAATCAAACAACAATGAGATGTCATTTAGCAAAAAATGAAAAGTCTGACAACTGTAAGGCTTTTAGAAACAATGTGGATTGAAAGGATCTCTCATGCATTGGTGCAATTTATTCAAATAATTTGATACTATCTTCTAAAGCTGAATTTCATGTACCTCCCCCACCCAATCAGCAACTCCATTCCTCAGGTTAGGACCAAGAGAGCAGTTTAGAACACCTGTATGCATGTACATATAAGAACATTCCAGGCAGTGTTGTTTCTCAGAACCAGAACCCAGAGAAAACAAAATGTACAGGAACACAACAGAACACTATGCAACAGTGAAAATAACTGAACTACAGCTACATGCAACATGAACAAATCTTGAAAAGCTATTATGCATGAAGGAAGTAAATCATAATAGCACAGACAGCATGACTTTCTTTTTACAATTAGTAAAAATAATTACAATTAAACAATACTGTGCTTATGCCTCTCTATGTGGAAAAAACTGTTCTTTAAGAAGCAAGAACATGAGTGACACAAAATCAGAATCCCGTTCACCTTATTTATGTGCAGGTCGGTGGGCTGGCACAAGAGAGACAAATGGAAGTTACTGCTAATGTTCAAGTTCCCAGGTTAGATAGCGGGGCTCACAATGTTTATTACTTCTAAGAACGGATGGGGATAAAAGCACAAGCAAAAAGAGCGCTTAGAGGCCACGCCAACAGTTCAGGCAGAAGAGGATGGCGGCGGGCTGGGCGGTAGCAGTGGGGCTGGAGAGACGCACACCGAATCGAGATTCAAGATGTAGAAATGACAGACCCTGGTAACGGCCTGGATGTGAAGCTGAGGGAGAAAGAAGGGTGGAAGTGATTCTTACAGGTTTCAGATTTTAGGAGATGGGTGGAGAGCAGGGGCCATTTAATAGGAAAGGGAGCCAGACGTTTACGACATACTGCAGAGTTTCGTGGTGGACATGCAGCCGTCTCCCTCACAGCCAGTCCAGCTACCCCCCACTGTGAGGCAACAAGCAGTGAGGGGGAGCATTTAATCACCCTCTGCTCCAGAGACACAAATCCTGATCTGTTTGAGCTAAAAAGCATAACACTGACACACGCATGGCCCAAATGCACATTTCTGGAGGGACGCTCAGACACCTTAGTTTGGGGTTGAAAGAAACCAGCTCTCTCTGCTTCCTAGACTTGAAAGGGGAAGCACGTAGTAGCTGACAGCAGGCATTTTTTGAAGTAGCAAAAGGATGCAGCTGATACAAGAGGAGGGCAAAACCACGACCACTACGAAGGGAACTGAAGCCAGGGCTCTGACACAAGCAAGATCGAGGGCTGGCCTGCCTCTGGGCTCCTCAGTGATGTGACCTTATCTTCCTTTTACTGCAAAAGCCCATGTGAGTTGGTTCTCTACTGCTTGCAACTAAAGACACTGACCTAATACAGACATCGGAGATGGAAAGGGAGTTTGTAAATCACAAGCCCTAAATAATGAAATTGGCTCAAATGAAGAAGAGTAAGAAAGATTTCCTGTTCCTCATGCTGGGAGTTTCAATATCCTTGTTCTTTAGAAAAGAAAAAATAGTTGATCACAGCATCGCTTGTTGCACCTTCGGACCAGACCACATGACTACAGATAGTGTCATACTGAGGACCCAATAAGGAAAAAAATGAGGCTATCCAAATGTTTTGACTATCCCTCATAGCTTTTACTAATATCCTACAGAGATGCTTACAGTATTGTTGTCTGTGTTTTTAGTTGTCAAATGTAAAGTATTTTAAATCCTCGGCATTAAAATAAATTAATTCCTAATAAAATACACACTTGGCGGAGAAAGTCTAGATCCTATTTCTCACTGTAATTTTATAGTCTTATAATCCATTATAACCAAAAAACAACCTGGCTAAAAATTTGACTGTGGATTTAGAGGTTAGGGGACTTAAGAATAATTAAATAATTGTTGCATTCAAGTTTTAACTCAAGAATTATGAAATACAAAATCCTGAAAAGACTAGTTAAAATCAATAACTAGATACTCTACATATCAAAGGGACTCTCGAGCCTAAGTAATAAAGAGGCCAATCAATAGAGAGACTAATATTTGAAATATTTCATAACAAAATGCTATAATTTTCAAAAAGAAAATTCCAATAACCAGATCCTCTCATTTTACCAGTACATGGAAGCCAATTTCAAATTACTGAAGAGCAAAATAAGATGTTATCATATATATCAGATATGTAAGAGTTCAAGGTTAGCAATGATGTGAGGATTGATTCTGATGCCCATGGCCAAAGTTTTCAATAGGATATGACATGAGAATTACCAAATACACCACTGACATACTACTGTTCTTCCTCTTCTTAACTCACTCAACTTTTTTTGTTTTTCCTAGTTCTCTGTAGCGTGCTGTTCTTCTGAACTGTCTTCATATGATTTACTGTTTGCTTATTCTTTTCCTTTGTCTCTGTCTGGATGTGTCCAGCTATCTGTGACTATGTCCCAGGACTCCTCTGCTCCTAAGTTTGGTCTTCCTGTTGTCTCTTGCTATCTTTTTGCTCTTGCTTCTCCTTCCTTCCTTAGCCATAGTATTTAACTTACTTGACATGATTATGGAATCAAGTTTATAATCTCTGTCTTATCATTTTTAAACAGTAAGATGACTTTTATTTCTGATTTTGTAAAAAAATTGTTTATTGAATTAATTTGTGTTGTGCAACCCTGAATTGATTTACTCAGTGAATTAGTGTCATGTGCTGCTTATTCACCACAGAAATAACCATTTTTACTAAGGTCTTTGGATCAAAAGAGTCATTCCCTGAACAGTATAAAATTAACCTTAGGGATTCACTAACCTAAATTACTTAAAAAAAAAAAATGGCATTCAAATTCTGGGACTTATGTCTCATGTGTACTCTTGTTTTAAAAATTCAAATTTCCTGGGGCACCTGCATGGCTCAGTCGGTTAAGCATCTGCCTTCAGCTCAGCTCATGATCTCAGGGTCCTGGGATCGAGCTCCATATCAGGCTCCTTGCTCAATGGGGAGTCTGCCTCTCCCTCTCCCTCTGCCTCTCTCCCCATGCTCATGCTTTCTAGCTCTCTCTCTCAAATAAGTAAATAAAATCTTTAAAAGAATAAACAAAATAAATAAAAATAAAAATTTCCTAAAATTTTTTATTAAAAGATAGACTATCTAATTTGATAACATCTTATAAAAATGTGAATTTAGTGAGTGCCTACATTGTGACTTTGGCTTTGACACCTGCAGACTTTTAAAGATTTATTTATTTATTTATTTGAGACAGAGAATGAGATAGAGAGAGAGCATGAGAGGGGAGAGGGTCAGAGGGAGAAGCAGACTCCCTGCTGAGCAGGGAGCCCGATGCGGGACTCGATCCCAGGACTCCAGGATCATGACCTGAGCCGAAGGCAGTCACTTAACCAACTGAGCTACCTAGGCGCCCAACACCTGCAGACTTTTACCATTAATTCACAGTCTTCAATATTATAAAGTGTAATGAATAACATTTTACAAATGTATGAACTCAAAGTAGGTCTATGGAGAGAAAAAAATGAAGCAGAAAGAATTAATGCATCCAAACCAGATGATCAACAATATATCAGAAATCAAAAATCTAAACTCTTGGTTCCTGGAATATAAATATTAACTTTTGTGCTTCCATCACTTATGATTTCTTTTTGTTTTTTATAACACCAACTTTATTCTCCATGAATACAAATATAGCAAATCATTTCTGTTTTAATTTGGAGTACACTTAAATAGTTTTCTTCTAGTGCTATAAGGTGTAAAGACAACGTTCTGCACTGAAAAAATTAAAATAGTATCCTAAACATAACGAGAAGAAAATAAGACTAGAGTCAAGGGGCATTTACTATTACACAGAGTAAAGAAAGGTTAGCTTTAAGGTCAAATAGAAAGCCCATAATCAAATTCACAACTTAGCTATATTTCTCTGGAGAGAGAACAGCTACCTAAGGTACCTATAATTTGACCAAACAATATGTCTCAGTGTTGTGATTCTCCATAATTTTATAGCACTTACTACGTGACATGCCCTAGGACAGTGAGTCACTCTGGCATTTAACCAGTCTTTAGAAGGAACTTAGATGGAATAATTTCCCTTTTCACTGTGATTCTAAGTTGACAACCCTCAGCAAGGCAATCTGGAAGAAGGATGACTAAGGGACAAACATTCTTAAAATGAAGTAAGCATGCAAGGTACTAGCCTGTCATATGCAGCAATCATAAAGTTGAGGAGGAGGCTGATGGACTGCTCCACGCTGATTTGGTGAGTAGAAGGAAGGCGCTTGTTCAGCTGGTAGTAGACAGAGGAGATGACAGTTTCGAGGCGGGACACACTGATCTCAGTGGTATGGTCCAGTGTATTAAGGCCATTGTCTCGGAAGGCTTCAATCATGTTCCAGATATCAACAAGATGGACTAAAACACAAAGAAAATGAACTGTCAACAATTTAAAAGTTTTAATTCATCAGAAAGGTATAAAAACTTTTCATTTATTTACATCCAACAGAATGGTGCAGGGTGGCAGAGTAAGATCCCAAAATACGCCACTTTGGCATAAGGATTATTTTGAGCTATTTTGACACTTGAAAAACAGCAGGTGCCAAGAAGTTCATGCTAAACTTCTCTTTTCTTCCGGAAAGCAGGAAATAAACTCCCAAGTGAAAGATGCCCTCCCTATTCCAAGGGGAAACATTCTTATCCCCAGAGACAGTGAATTGAGGCCAAGAGAAATCTGCATAGATTTTATTAGAATAACCCTTATCTTCCTTGAGACTCCCCATATATTTTAGTTATTTTTCCACAAGTGCTACTCCTTCCCTAGTCTATCAGCACATAGGCCTCATCCCTCCTTCGGGTCTTCATTTTGCTATAGGGGCTCCAGGTACATGTAAAAATCTGTGTGCTCTTCTGCTAATCTGTCTTATGTCAATTTAACTCTCAGGCCTGACCAGAGACCCTAAGAGGGTGCAGGTAAGGTTTTGCCTTCCCTACAATAGCCTCAAAAATATATATTGTCAAATTTAACAAAACATCAAAGAGACAAATTTACAAACTTCGTGGGAGCTGTTAACACGTTTTTCTTAGTAAGTGATAGAGCAAAGGTACAAAGCATAAGTGCAGATATAGACAAATATTACAACTGGCAAAGTAGGCATAATGGGCACTATATGAAATACTGCCCCCAGTGATTAGAGAATATGCTCTATTTTCAAGAACACAAACAATGTGTATGAAAATTGATCTTATCCTGAGTCATAAAGCTAATCCTGGCAAATGTCAAAGGATTCAAGTTATATCAACCATGTTCTCTGATCAAAATGAGATTAAATTACAAATCGTCAAAAAGACCACTTCAGAAATGAAGAAACACAGTACTAGGCAATGTCCTTAATCTGATTAAGGGTATTTACAGAAAACTGCAGCAAACATATTACCTAATAGTAAAATGTTGAAAGCCTTTCCTCTGATATTGTGAACGAGGTAAGAAATGCCCACTATCGAATGTAAATTGGTACAGTAACTGTGGAAAACAGTATGGAGGTTCCTCAAAAAATTAAAAATAAAACTACCATACGAACGAGTATTTCCACTATTGGGTATCTGCCCAAAGAAAACGCAGACACCAATTCAAAAAGATATATGCACCCCTCTGTTTAGCGCAACATTTATTTACATGAGCCAATATATGGTAGCATCCAAGTAAATGTCCATCGATAGATGAATAAATAAAGAGGATGTGGTATACATATAGAATGGAATATTATTCAGTCATAAAAAATAATGAGATTTTACCATTTTCAACATGGATGGATGGAGAGGGTATTATGCTAAGTGAAATAAGTCAGAGAAAGACAAACACCATATGATTTCACTTATATGTGGAATATAAAAAAAACAAAAGAACAAAAAACCAGAAACAGGCCCATAAATACAGAAAACAAACTAGTGGTTGCCCGAGGGAGGGAGGGAGGGAGGGAGATGGACAAAATGAGTGAAGGGGAATGAGAGATACAGGCTTTTAGTTAGGGAATGATTAAGTCACGGGAATAAAAAGAAAAGCATAGGGAATACAGTCAATGTTACTGTAATAGCGTTCTGTGGTGCCAGATGGTGGCTACACTTGTAGTGAGCATGGCATAACAAAGAGTTACAGAATCACTATGTTGTATACATGAAACAAATGTAACATTGTGTATCAACTATACTTCAATTAAAAAAAAAGAAAAAGAAATGGGGTGCCTGGGTGGCTCAGTCAGTTAAGCATCCCATTCTTGATTTCAGCTCAGGTCAAGATCTCAGGGTTGTGAGATCAAGCCTCATGTCAGGCTCCGTGCTCAGCGGGGAGTCTGCTTCAGATTCTCTCCCTGTCCCCCCTCCCTCTGACCCTCTGCACGCTCACACAATCGTGCTCTTTCTCTCTAAAATAAATAAATAAATCTTTATCAAAAAAAAAAAAGGCAATGCTCACTATCATCATTTCTACTGTACTTTGGGTCCTAACCAATATAAATAAGCAGTAATTAACCATGTGAGTTTCAGAAATGAAGAAATTTAACTGTCATTATTCAGAAATGACAAAATTCTACAGGTAGAAAATCAGATTCTCCAGATAAATTACTAAATTGATATTTGAGTCTAGAATGATTACTAGATACAAGATATAAAAGTCACTGTATTTATATTACTAACAAAAATGAAATTTTAAAATACTATTTATAATAGTAGCATAAATCAGCAAAGATTTAGGAATAAATCCAATGAAGGAAATGCAACATCTCTACAAAAAAAAAATCTATAAATATAATTGGTAGAAATTAAAGACCTAAATAAATGGAGGGATATACCATGTTCACAGGAGGTAATCTCAAATTGGAAATACGTTGATTATCCCCAACTTAACCTATAGATTCAGTGCAGTCCCAACAAAATGCCACAGGGCTCTCCATTAAAAGGATAAATTTTACTATATGTAAATTATACTTTAAAAAAAATAAAAATGGAAAAAATCCCAGCAGAGTTCTTTGTTTTATTTTGTTTGCTTTTAGTAGAAATTGATAATCAGATTCTAAAATGCATATGAAAATAAATGTAAAAGGCCAAAAATGTCTCAATCTTAAAAAGAAAAACAGAACAAAGTAGGAAGAATTGCTCTATCTGATATTAAGAATTATTATAAAGCAGGGTGCCTGAGTAGCTCAGTTGGTTAAGCATCTGACTCTTTATATTGGCACAGGTGATGATCTCAGGGTCGGAATTGAGCCCTGAGTTGGGCTCCTTGCTTAGCCCAGAGTCTGCCTGAGATTCTCTCTCCCTCTCTCTCTGCCCCAAGCCCCCTCACACTCTCTCTCTGTCTCAAATAAATGAATAAATCTTAAAAAAAAAAAACGACTACTTATTATAAAGCTACAGTAGTGGTTATTGGTAGGATAGACCAGTGGAAGACAAGAGTCCAAAAGCAGGTCCTCTCATATATAGAAACTGCTATGAACATTCTTATATATTTCTCCTAATGAGTATGAGGAAAGATTTTGGGGCAGTGAAGAAAAAAGGGTGGTTTTTTTCAATAAACAGTATAGAGACAATAGAACATACATGTGGACAAAACTGAAATTTTACTCCTACCTAAACTGTACACCCACAAAAAAAAAAATTCAGTCTGATTAAAGAATCCTAGGTGACAAAATAAAAGTTCTAGAACAATGCATCTTTCACTGTACATTACTAATGCCAGTAGCCGGGTTTCAGACTCTCAACACTCCACACATAGACTACTGTTTCCCAAGAATAATTACAGGAAGAATTATTAAAATGGTAGTTGCTCTGACAGTGGTTTTTAAATTTTTTTACTGCAACCCACAGAAATATATTTAAATCAACACCAACACACACACACACACACACACACACTCTCTCTCTCTCTCTCTCTCTCTCTCTTCTAGATATATAAAAAACAAAAGTTTCACAAAATACTTTTAGACTTACCACATAATTTGTGTTCTGATTTTTTTCTCTCTCTTCTTTTCTTTATTACATGTTTTAAACTCTGGCTACAGCTCATCAAAATGATTTCATGAACCCTTAATGGGTCACAACCCATAATTTGAAAAACAATGCTTTAGGAAACCAGAGACTTCAGTCAGGATGGCATGGTAAACTCTCTAGAGAGAATTTTATGCTAAGATTTCTGAAAATAACACTTAAAGTAGGGTAGAAGTATTCAGATGTAAAGTGACTTACCCAACATCACATGTTTATAGTAAATGCCAAAAACCAAGACATTTTAAAACTCAGGTTTTTCCAATTCTAAAGCCAATGTTCTTTCCATTATACCCATTATACAAAACCATTCTTCATTAATACACACACACACACACACACACACACACACACACACACGAGAAAAGTACAATAATTCTGTCATAAGTTAGTTTATCTTCATGGAAATTAAGAGAAAAAAGATTTTATGTGTCTGTGTGTGTGTGTATATATATATATATATATATATATACAGGCCTATATATATACATACACACACACACACACACAAACATATTTTATTTACTTATAAGTAGCAATTCTCAGTGATTACTTATAGAAAAGGCTGATTCATGTTGTATTCATTTTAATCAAGAAAATTAACTTATTACACCTCTATCAGCACATTAATGTTTTTTTCTTCCAGAATCTGATTATCGTATTAATTTTATATAAAAGTTATTTAAAACAGGTGAGAAGGAGAAATCAATTCTCTCATTTAAAGTGTATTAATACTATGCCAGCCTCAAAAGCAGTTACATTATTGAATTTTGTAAACATTTTGAGGGACACAGAGTAAATGACAAGTTCTTTCCATGACAAAACTTACATTTTAATAAACACTGAAGACAAAAATAATTCAATTAACATTACAATATGACTAAAAGATACTAAAACCTTTTATTTTCTATTACTGAGTGCACTATCCAGCTATCACAGAAATTAGCTGAAATGACTTACGGTTGCATCGTTTTTGTACAAATCGTAATTTGCAAGCTGTTCTATAAGTTGATAGTCGTATGACATCAAAATTCTGAGCACCTGAAAAAAGTACAAACAACAGATGTTCAACGGGATTTACCACTGAATTTCTCGATGCTGGGAAGTGACTATTCCACAGCGTGTGCACGGGCCATATATCACATGTCAACCAGGCCTTCTGAGAAAACAAAAGGGGTCAGGAAGAGTTAGGTGCACTTTCTATGTGACCACTCCATGCCAGCAGTTTTGCCTACCTTATCCCGTCTGCCAGCCTGACAAAAATCCTGATGGAGAACCCTCATAACCGCAGTGAATCTTTCCTTCTATACCACTTCTATGGTAAATACTAGGAAGTCAATGGTAAGCAGCTGGGAAAGGGAAGTCCATCCCCAACTAACCAAACAGAAAGAGTACTAATCTGATCAATCAGACTGCAGGACATTTATTGGGCCATGTTTGCTAGTGGAGAAGTAATGACAGGAAAACGTCAGTGCATATGGTATAGAACTCACTCTCTTCAGATGAAGAATGAAATAGGGCAAATATCACACAAGTCCAAAGGGAACTAGCTGAGGAAAATGGGAAACCCAACAAGCTCCAGCCCCTGAAGTTCTAGGTGCTATTCAAGAATCAAGTATTACTCTTTGTCATTTTTCTCATACATTTACCTTCTTCTGAAGCAGTCATCTTTCCTCGTTTCTATAAGGAAAATCCTCAGACACTGCTCTAAGAATAGCCTTCACTTTTTTTACAAAAATTTCCCTTACGTAAGCGTCATGTTGATTTCCTGATCAGAAAATATGGTAGTTTGGCACATAAAAAATAGAACAGAAAGCCCCCAGTGAAGAAACTAAAATGATTATGTTATCCCTTTGGATACTGTGGACTAGAAAAGATGACTCTTCACTCTATTATCATTCATTCTGAGAATTCATTATAAGAAATACACTGAAACGTCACTTTAATACTAATGTCATACAGTATATTTCAAGCTTATCAAGGAATGGTATAAAGGGTCCTAACTAAACACACAGGCAGAACTCTAGCCACAGGTGGAGAGCCCAAGCTCCTGGATGGACAGGAGACAATCTAAAAATACTGAGTACCCAAGAGGTACAGGGAAAGGATGAGAAAGGATTAACCCTTCTTTCTACATTATGACTCTCCTCATTCATGAGAATAGGATATCAACTTCTATAGTATAACCAAATCCCAAGGAAAGCAAAGAGTCAAATGGAAGGGTTTTATTGTATCTGCTTGTATCAGAAGCTTGTATCAGAGCGTCCTGGACAGGAACCTGGAATCTTCATTCCAGAGAGTCCTGTAATCAAGCTAGGTTTCAAAAACACATAACTACCCAACTCGGCTACAAGGTCTGGCTCGTGCAACTCTCAAATTTACCTCACACCCAACTCCAATCAGTACGGGCTACATATAATTACCCAAACATGCCCAGCTGTCTCATCTGAGCCTTTGTAAGTGCTACTTACTGCTCCAGCCCTTTCTTCATCACATCACTGAACTGACTCAGCCTAGACATCGCTTCCTCCCAGATCCCTTCCTGGACCCCCCACGCTTCCCCAATCATGGCTCCAACTGCCCTATCATTCCTTATTTCCAATTTCAGGAAAATAAGTTTCATGAAGGCAGAGACCATTTTATTGTTGTGTTGTTTGCTACTATATGCTCAAAAGGACATAATAAAACTAGCACCTGAAATATTTATTGAATGAATAAATAACCGAAAATTACAAAGTTCTTTGTTGCTGGTATAAAAGACTGATCTGCTTTCCCCCAAAAATATACCAAGTAAAGTCAAAATATTACACAAACTATACAATTTTGGAAAAGCTAATACAAGGAGATGATAAAAGTAGTGGGGAAAGCAACTCTTTTCCCTGTATAAACATGTTGATGCATGTAGCCTTCTTCAGCTAGAACACAGGATTCCAAACTGCATTCTAGGGAGCCCCAGGATTTGGTAGAGGTGCTCGGCACACCCACAGAAGGGGTAAGGAAGTATATTTTGTTAAAAAGGCATTTAACTAACGAGATGAAGAGAAGAGAAAGAAAAAGAGAAGACATAACAACCTAGTAAATGTAAGGATAGTAACATTTCTGAACTGTCTGAAACCCTTACAACCATTTTTTTTAATAAAGATTTTTATTTATTTATTTGACAGAGATACAGCGAGAGAGGGAACACAAGCAGGGGGAGTGGGAGAGGAAACAGGCTTCCAGCAGAGCAGGGAGCCTGATGCGGGGCTCGATCCCAGGACCCTGGGATCATGACCTGAGCCGAAGACAGACATTTTAATGACAGCCACCCAGGTGCCCCTACAACAATTTTTAATAAGCAAAATTTTTCAAGAGAGTAAGAGTCTGAATAAGTAACAAAAATAAACATAAATGACTTCCTTGTTTTTTTCTTGCCAGTATGATTAGAAACCCTGGGGACCAGAGATGAAGCCAGAGGTCCCAACAGAGAGGAAGGTACAGACCACAGAATGGTGACTCTGTCAGTGGGTGAACTAGAAACAAAAGAAAAAAAAATCCCACAAAAGGAAATGTTAGGGACACATGACTGGCTCCACCTAGATTTAGACTTAAATTTTTAAAACAAACAAAGAAAGTGGTCATCAAATAGGTTAGACAAAAGAAAAACTGACCATACAAAAGAATTATAAAGTCTAATTTGTGGTGTTAAAAAAGATAATACTAAAAATAGCATATATTTCATGAAGGAGGTGCTCTAAAACTATCTAATATTCCTGTATTGCTTTGAATAAAGTTATAAATATTGATAAGCTCTGGACTTCATTTTAATTGATGTTAGAATTTGTAGGGTAGTCACAAAAAGAATAGAAAAAGAATATACAACCCACCACCAAGAAGATGGAAAAGTGGAATGGAAGGAAGAAGCTCAATTCATCTAAGGAAGGCAAGAAAGGAAGGAAAAACAACAGAGTAAGGACACAGCTGAAGCACAAAACAAGATGGAAGAAAAAGTGAAATGTATCTGTATTCACAAAAAAAATTTAAACAGGATAAATTCTTCAGTGAAAAAGCAAAGACCGCCAGTCACAATAGTTGTTGTTAAATAATCTAGCTTACACCGCTTACAGGAGATACACACAAAACATAAAGATACAGGGGCGCCTGGGGGGCTTAGTCACTTAAGCATCTGACTCTTGATTTCGGCTCAGGTCATGATCTCAGGGTCATGGGATCAAGCCCCATGTTGGGCTCCACTCCCAGCATGAAGTCTGCTTAGGATTCTCTCTCTCCCTCTGCCCCTCCACCCCCCCCACCAAAATAAATAAATGAATCTTAAAAAAAAAAACCATAAGGAAATGGAAAGTTTTTTAAAAGAATGAAAAGATACTGTACAAGGCATACTAACCAAAAGAAAACCGGTACAGCTCTATTAATAACAACAAAATAAACTTCACAGCAAAAAGCATCACTAGAAAAAAAGTATACCTACATAATGACAAAACATTCAATTTCCTAGGTAGACGTAATATTTTAATACATGTCCATCTGAGAACAAAAGCTTCAAATCATTGTCAGAACTAAGGGGTAAAAAATTAAAGTCCATGATCAAAGCAGAGATTTCTTTACAACTTTCAGTAATTAGGCGGTCAAATCAGTAAGGACAAAAAAGGTCTGAGTAAAACATGTAACAAATTAAATCTAAATAATGAAGAAATCAGACACATTATTTTCAAGCACACATGGAATATTTACAAAAACATATAACAAAAAATATCACCAAATTCAAAGATTCTAGAACAGCCTTCATTCCCTGACCCACATCTCAATTAAGCTAAATATTTTTTTAATTAAAAGTCATTTATTTGCAAATTTAAAAGGGTACTTCTAATTATTCCTAAGAGAAGTTAGAAACCACAGAGAAGTGATCATGAAAATGGCATCTATCGGAACACATGGAATGCAAAAATAGAAAATCACAGGAAAGAAGTTCTTAAGTGCTTACATAAGAGAGGAAAAAAGTCTGAAAATAAATGGCTTGAGTTACCCAACATAAGAAGTTGGAAAAAGAACAATAGAATCGCCTGAAGTAAAAAGAAGAAAGTAATAAACACAATAGCACAAAATAATGAGGCAGAAACAAAGATACATGGAAAGGATCAACAAAGCCAAAGTTCCTTGAAAAGTCCAATAAAACTGACAAAATTTTGGAAAAGAAAAAATAAAATCAGAATCTGAGCCGGGAGGCCTGGCATCAGACATTTTGTAGTTTCACCTATAGTTTAGCACCAGAGTTAAGAACTACTGTTCTAACTTACCACCTTTCATTTTTCTTAGTGATTTTATACCATATAAGAATCGTAAGCTACCAAATTACTTCTTTGTAATTTATTCCACTCTTCTTTCAATAAATATTTATCAAGCTACTGGGGCTACCAACATAAATAGATGTGATCCTTATTCTCATGGCACTTAGAGTCTACAAGAGAAAATACTAAGCATAGAAAGAATAGTAGGGCATTTAAACATACTGTCTAAAAACAGAAAGGCTTAAGAATATTATAGAAAGGAATAATAGTAAAGGTCACACAACATGAAAAATTACAACCTAACTAAATTATCAAATCATTATGACTGTTTTCATGTTATACAGCAAAGTTGAGTCACTGTGACAGAGAACTCATCATATAGCTTGCAAATCCTAAAATATTTACTTTCTGACCCTTTAAGGAAAAGACTGTCAGCCCTAGCATTATATTTACAGAGTAAAGGAGAAATATTAATCTCAAGAGAAACAGAAAACATCTGATAAAATTCAATACTCATTCATGATTTAAAGAAAATAAGAGTAAAAACTCTTGGTAAATTAGAACCTAGAAGTAGTTCCCTAACCTGATAAACAACACAAAACCTACAACAAATGTCATTTTAATAGCAAAATATTACTTCTATCAAGTCAAAAACAAGGCAAGGATGACCGCTATCCTCCCTATTCTTCAATATAATATCTGAGAGGGTGCCTGGGTGACACAGTCAGTTGAGCGTCCAACTCTTGATTTTGGCTCCAGTCATGATCTCAGGGTTCTGGGAACGAGCCCTGCATCAGGCTCTGTGCTCAGCCGGGAGTCTGCTTGTCCCTCTCCCTCTGCCCCTCTCCCTGGCTCATTCTCTCTCTCTCTCTCTCTCTCAAATAAATAAATAAAATCTTAAAAAAAAAAAAAGAGTTGCAAAAATAATAGTCCAAACTGTCTTTCTTTAAAAATAATACAGTCCCAAAGAATGTACAACATCAGGAATGAACCCTCGGGGTGCCTGGGTGACTCGTGTAGTGAGTCTGGATGATCTTTTAGGAGTTTTGTAGTTCTGAGTCTCTGACTGCTAGTCATCCGAGCCAGAAACCTTGCAGTAACTTCCCTCTACCTCACCTTCCACCTCCAAAGAAATCACAAAATGCAGCTGAGTTTTACCTCATAAGGGAGTCTTGGATGATCTGTTCCTCGTACCACAGTGGCTTTGAATCCAGGCTCTAACGTCAGACTGCCTGTATTTGGATCTTGGCTGTATAACCTTAGGTGACTTGACTTAATCTCTGTGCCACAGTTTCCTTGTCCATAAAATGGGAATAGTATCTACTTCATAGAATGATTGTGAAGATTAAATGGGATAATGTCACTTAGGCACTTAGCACAGTGCTGGACCCAGAGTAGTAGGTATTTAACGTGGTTAGTTTTGATTAATATTTTATCATTGTTACTTTTCTGAACTAAAGCAAACTGATTTGGATCCCTTCTTCCACGGTCAACCCTTTCAAATCTGTGATCGGTGATGCTGTATGGAGTGAACTGTATAAATCTGTGTTACTTCCTTCTTAAATCCCTTTAGTTGCTCCTCGTCACTCTCCCAAGAAAGCCTGAGCTCCTAGGCACACCAGGCAAGCCCTCCCACAGGCAAGCCCTCCTGGTCTCTTTTATCCTCAGTTCTCAGGTTGCCAGTTGCCATCACCCACCATGTGTGTCATTTCCCAGCAGTACTGAATTGGCTTTGCTCCTGCAGTTGGGCTCACCTTCATCTGCCTTGTTGCACCTGCTCACCATTAAGGCTCAGCATAGGGGTCATCTTTTCATTAATTTTTTAACACATTTATTGAAAATCTATTATGTTCCAGGCACTGTTGTAGGTGCCAGGGTTAAGGGGAGAACAGAACATAGTCCCTGACTTCTCGCATACTGCTTACATTTTGGTGAGGGGAAACAGACAAAATAAGGAAACCAAGTAGATAAACAATAAATCCTGATACTAAGAAGTGCCTGGGGTGCCTTCAGTAAATAAACATGAGCATGCAAGGGAGCACAACTAGGGTAGATCTTTGGAGTAGAAAGGTATTCTGTGAAGATTTGGGTTTGCTGCTTAGTGAATGTCATCATACTGACACATAGAGCTCAGACAAGTGGCCTTTCTCTGTAACAAACTCAAGGATATGGACTGTTTTGGAGATCTTTGGTGAGTATGGCTTCTTGTCTCCCCTCTTTCTTCATGGGAAGAATTGCATTGCTGACAGTGGTGCCTGCTGCTAAAAGCCATGCTCTCTCCTTTCCAACATCCCCCCAGATGTCCAGCATTATTACCTTCTATGGATGTAAAAATCATCTTTTGTCAGCCTTATCATAGGGTTCTATCATCTAGGTTTTGGGTTGATTTTATGGAAATTTTGAATCTACTGATCTTTCTGTTTGCATCTTGGCTGTATAACCTTAGGTGACTTGACTTAATTTCTGTGCCACAGTGGGTCATTAATAGATTTTTACATATCGTAGGTCTATCCATCTTTTTTTTTTTTAAGACTTCACTTTTTTAGAGCAGTTTTAGGTTCACAGTAAAACTAAGAGGCGGGAACAGCAAGTTCCCATAGCACACATGCACAACTTCCCCCATTAACAACACCCCCCACCAGAGGGTACATTTGCTACAACTGATGGGCCTGTGTTGACAAATTATAACACCCAAAGTTTGTAGTTTACATGAGGGTTCATTCTTTTTTTTTTTTTAAGATTTTATTTATTTATTTGACAGAGAGAGACACAGCAAGAGAAGGAACACAAGCAGAGGGAGTGGGAGAGGCAGAAGCAGGCTTCCCGCGGAGCTGGGAGCCCAATGCGGGGCTCAATCCCAGGACCCTGGGATAATGACCTGAGCTGAAGGCAGACGCTTAATGACTGAGCCACTCAGGTGCCCCCACATTTGTGCTTTTAATTATTCCTATAGCTCTAAGTGTTGTCCTAACACGTAGATCTCTACACCTTAGAATCTGTATCTAGTAAAAGGTAACTTATACAATGTATTAATTATTTCTCATTACCTGCAAGCTCATGGTAACAAGGGAGTTACAGCAAGAGATCTAAACTGACTGGTGTGCCTTGGGGCACCTGACTGGCTGAGTCAGCAGAGCAGGTGACTCTTGATCTCAGCACTGTAAATTTGAGACCCACATTGGTTGCAGAGATTACTTAAAAATAAATCTTAAACTCACAGATATTCTAGGTAACATTTCTGCCTTAGTATTAACGATCTTGCTGAAGAAAGCAATTCAAGTCAACTCAATTATAATATATGCTCTGGCTTGAGGTCCGTCAACTCCATGATTCTTTAACTCCCTTTCTTCCCTACCTAAGCTTGGGACATGCTAATTTGTGAGGTACCTGGGTGGCTCAGTCGATTAAGCATCCAACTATTGTCTCCAGCCTCCGTCATGATCTCCAGGTCATGAGATGGAGCCCCGGGTTAGGCTTCGTGCTCAGCAGGGAGTCTGCTTGAGATTCCCTCCCTACCCCTCTCTCTCTGCCCCTCGGCCCACTCATACTCTCTCTTTCTGCCTCTTTCTAAAATGAACAAATCTTAAAAAAAAAAAATTGGAACATGCTAATGCTTAAAGCTGTGACTTCATCGGGGGGAAAAAAAAAAAGGCATCCCCACACATACAGACAAGGAATCCAGAAGCACTCAGGACTCACGCATTTCTATGAACAGCTGCCTTTTCTCCGCCATGGTCTTCCGCTTGTTCCCACTTTCCTCAATCATCCTAGAAACAAAGAAAGATACAATAAACCACTGCAATTTGACAATTCAACCAAGTGCTTATCATTCTGTTATGAAGAGGTACAGAAAACCAAGCCGTAGATGCACATTTAAGAGACAATTAGTAAAAATAAAGTGGAAGCCCGATATAGAAAAAGAAAAACCAGTCCCTTGATTTACTTGATAGCTTCTATAATATTACAAAGTCAATAATTAAATGAGCTCGTACACTTGCTTCCTGTGCTGAAAATATGGGGCTATGTCTTCTTTCTAACTATGATTATTTTCTCTGCGGAGTCCTGGATTGGTTGGGACACAGCTTCCCATATCCCTACTGTTTTACCCAGATAAACATGGTACTAAATATAATTTAGAAAATAATTATAATGAAAGACTAAAGAACATAATAGTTATTAGCTTATACATAAAAGACATAAATAAAATCTTCTATTTTCATATTAAACAAAGAATGTATTCATCCCCAAACTCAAAGAACTACTAGAGATAAATTTTTTACCACACAGTAATAGTTTGACAGACATAGGCTATGCCAGTCACTCTGTTAAAACTCTTTCCATGTGCTACCTCATTTAATCCTTCCAACAACCCTAGATACTGGTATCATTATTATTATCTCCATTCTATAGATTTGGAAACAGCCTGGAAAAGAACACTAACTTGCTTGAGGGCACAACTCAGAAGTGGTAGAGTCGTGATAGAGTCAAATCCCACCCTTTCACTAAACATCTTACATAATCATTGCTTTTAGATGCACACTGCCAAATCTCCACATCCAAAAAGCTAAAAAAACAAATAAGCCCATTGCACAGACCCTACTGATGCAAAATCTGTGATAACTGCAGCTGAATTTTGCCTTATTCTGTGAAGAAAAAATATCTAGACAAAGAGCATAAGTCAAACAATTTCCCTAAGGAGATTAAACTGTTGTAAATCATGGAGTGATTTATATAGCACAGTCTCAAATATATTAGAATCACAAATTAAATGATAACTACACATATTACATGTCCATTAAAACAAGGTACCCGGCAAAGTTTAGTTTTAAATATAACCTAAAGAAAATTTAAAATCTAAATGCATTCCTTAACATTCTACAACTAATATTTTGATAATTAAGACCAATCCTTTCCTAAATCATTGACGTATTACCAAGTAGGCTTTAACACACATGATGGTTACTTAACAATTTACCCCCAAGAGAAAAAAAATTTAAACAGGAAGAAAGACAGACGCTTAACCAACTGAGCCACCCAGGCGCCCTGCAAGTCTTGTTTTTTTCTCTAGGACCTAGATTTCATTATATTTTTGCTGTTTCTAGTTGCTTTGTCTTTTGGCTTTCTTTCTCTGCCTGCTGCTCTGCCTACTTGTGCTCTCTCTATATCCCTCTGTCAAATAAATAAATAAAATCTTAAAAAAAAAGAAAATAAATAAGTTCTGGCAGGGGAAAAAAAACATATGACAGGAGTGTATCAAAGGAATACAGAAGCCAACTGAAAGTTCTCAATGGCCAAAGTTGGAACAATTTCAGCAACAACATTAAAGAGTATTAGATATCCTTAAGTTGATACTAATATAAATGAGTGAATAAATTAACAAATGAAGAATTGACAAATATCCTAGGCAGTAGAATTCCAGATTATTTATGTAGATACTTTGCCCTAAAGAAAGTGGAGCATAGGGGCGCCTGGGTGGCTCAGTCATTGGGCATCTGCCTTCGGCTCAGGTCATGATCCCGGGGTCCTGGGATCGAGCCCCGCATCGGGCTCCCTGCTCTGTGGGAAGCCTGCTTCTCCCTCTCCCACTCCCCCTGCTTGTGCTCCCTTCTCTCTCTGCGTCTCTCTCTGTCAAATAAATAAATATTAAAAAAAAAAAAGAAAGTGGAGCATAACCCCCCGCTCCTTAAGTGTGAGCTGCACACAGTGACTTCCTTCCAAAGAGGAAAAGGGAGAGGGACAAATACCCTGGCAGTGGAGAAATCTGACAAACATGAACTCAGCCAGGTGATCGAGGTCAACAGTGACTAATTATGTAGACAGGATGTACCTCTGACATGATGTGATGAAAATGGCATTTTACTTCTAGGGTCTTCTGCCCCAAAACCCATAAACCCAGTCTAACCATGAGAAAAACAGTAGGCAAATCTCAATTGAGGAAAAATGTACCAAAATACCTAACCAGCACTCTTCAAATCTGTCAAGTTTTATCAAAAACTTGATGAGAAAAGCCTAAGAAACTGATAAAGGCGAGAGAAGTCTAAGGAGACGTGGCAACTAATTATAATGTGGTATCCTGAACAGGATTCTGGAACAGAAAAATGTCATGAGGAAACACTACAGAAATCTGAATAAAACATGGACTTTAGTTAATAATAACACATCATCACTGGTTCCTTAATTGTAACAAATGAACCACACTATTGTAAGATGTTAATAAGAGACAGAACAGGCCAGAGGTACATACAGGTACTCCCTATTACTGTTTAATTTGTCAGTAAATCTAAAACTGTTCTTAAAAAAATTTTTTTTTTTAAGACAGAACAATCACATATTTCTTTTCCTTTATTCTCTTAACTGATTTAAAAAGCAATTGCAGGGGTGCCTGGGTGGCTCAGTCATTAAGCATCTGCCTTCGGCTCAGGTCATGACCCCAGGGTCCTGGGATCGGGCCCTGCATCGGGCTCCCTGCTCAGTGGGAAGCCTGCTTCTCCCTCTCCCACTCCCCCTGCTTGTGTTCCCTCTCTCCCTGTCTCTCTCTGTCAAATAAACAAACAACATCTTAAAAAAAAATAAATTAAAAGTAGTTGCATAGGGGTGCCTGGCTGGCTGGCTCAGTCAGTGGAGCATGCGACTCTTGATCTTGGGGTTGTGAGTTCAAGCCCCATGATGGGCATAGAGATTACTTAAAAATAAAATCTTTAGGGGCGCCTAGGTGGCTCAGTCGATGATCTCAGGGTTGTAGGACAGAGCGCCCCCCCCAGTGTGGCTCCACCTTCAGCGTGGAGTCTGCTTATCCCTCTCCATCCCTCTTTGACCACCCCCCCGCCTGGCTTGCACTCTCACGGCACTCTCTCTCTAATAAATAAATTAATCTATTAAATTATTAATTAAATTAATAAAATCTTCAAAATAAAAAGCAACTACATAAAACAGTATCTATAACATTATACTATTGGGTCTGTAACATATAGAATTCCCTGAGAAGACATAACAATCCTAAATGTCTACATACCTAACCACAGTGCCTCAAAATACACTAAGCAAAAATTGATAGAACTGCAAGGAGAAATGGATAAATCCACACTTCCACCTGAAGACTTCAATTCTCCTCTATGATCAATACAAGTAGAAAGTCAAGATGAATATGAAGGACTGAACAACACCATCAGCCAACTAGATCTAACTGATACTTATCGAACGTCCCACCCGATAATGGCAAAATACAAATTCTTTCCAAGTGCACATGAAGCATGCATCACCAAGTTCAGAAGAGTGAGTACCTCTGGAGATAGAAGCAGAATGATGTGACTGCAGAGGGACACCAACTCTATTTAGCTATGTTTTATTTATTAGACTGGGTTCTGGGCACCCTGTATTATTCTTTACACTTTATAGGTCCTATCTCATAATAAAATGTTAAGTCATTTACTTGGAGTATATTCTCTGATAAATCTTTTCTTTAGAGGGTGGAGGTTGGGGAGGCAGGACTCCATATGTTTTATTATTGAAATGGAGTATATCAAATACCACAAGCTCTGTACATTTACCCAAATGTACACGAACTCTTGCAAACTCCAAATCTGATATAATATTTATTACTTCGATCTTTAGCAATGTCTTCTGTGAGTATCCCAACAAAGAATGCATTTTAGTCACCAAACTAAAGCTACTGATTTGTCTATGTGGTATTTCAGCCACTTTTACCAAAACAGGAAGAGCAAAGATTTATGGCTTTTTATCTTTTACTCCTAAAGTAAAAAATCTCCAAAGAATCTTCTAAAAATGTATCACTAACTTAATAATTTTTAATGTACTAGATTAATCAGCTCATGACTATAATCACTGAAAATTTTCAATAAGTTTGTCTTCATATACCAAATGCTTAGTTTTAAAATATCTCAACTGATAACAGTAACTTCATACTATCATTAGTGAATATCTTAAGATATAATATACTCAACAGTGCATATGAACCCATATATCAAATAATATTTAACAATTTTTTACAGATTCCTCTTCAATCCACTTACATCATTGTTTTACACATTGCATTAGACTGACAAGCTTATAATATAAATAAAAGTATCATCTCTGCGTTTTTCTTGTTGTTCCTGTGTCCTTGCATTATTACTTCAATCTTCAGCTGAATCTGAAACTTCAACGTGCAATTTCTTTACAGGAATCCTTTAAGGCCTTTGTCTATTTAGCAAGGTTCGTCTAATTGAAATCAGATAATATGATCTGAAAGACCACTAAGCCAGGCAGAGATGGACTTTAATATGTCCAAACAGAATGTAAGCCAACAAGTAAAGAGGCTCACATGACAGGCCCTTCCAGGCTGTGATGTCCCCAGTACCCCCCCTCAGGTTACTTAGCTTACCAAACCCAATGTATATCACCAGACATAGAGATGGACTAAAGTGTCAACCTATGGACAAAATATTCATAAAAGTTAATTGCCCATATTTTGTTATACCCTACCTGGAGGATCATTTTGCATGCATCTCCCACTCTAGAAAACACTGCTCTTTACAAAAAAAAATTTTTTTAATTAAAAATAAAAAAAACAACAACCCCAGAATGAGAAAATGGGACTGTGCTAGGTTTGAGGAACAAATGAGTAACATGGGTGGCAGAATTAGATGAGGAAATTTAGAGCCTACGTGGTTAGTTAACTTGGCCTAAGGTTACGAAGTTGGTAATTTGTGGAGTTAGGCAACCAACCCATTTGACTCTAAAGCCTACTCTCCTTCTGCTGCACCACATC